GCTATCAATGTCTATTGTGGAGATTGGAACAGACCATGGATTGGAAATCCTGTAGACAGTTGGAGACGGTCGAAAGAGTGATCTACAACATCCCATTGGGTCTTTTTGCAACTGTTCTCCATCTCCTGACAGCGGCAGGTGAGTGATCCTGCGCGCTCGAAATTCCGACAGTAGTCCAATGGGCTGAGCTGCTCCTGAGTCGGGTGTAAGGTATTAAGGGCGGTCGAGGAGAACAAAGGCCAGAGCTGAGGTCAGGTCAGCAAGGTCTTGCTAGACATACCATGGAGTACCGCGGCAAGCCAATGTAGCTCGACGCAACTCTTCTTGACCTTGGTTATACTCTTTCATGAAAAGCTAGCGCTCTTGCTCTTTGCCCATCGGGCCAGAGACATCAAGGTCGATATGTCTTTTTGTGCTCGACACGTAAGCTCTGATCGCGATGCGAGAAATTTCGATGTGACCAGGATGGGCAGCATATTCAAGTCCATCATTGAATTATCGTCGAGAGTGGTCTCATTCGTACGTTCTCGCTCCCTTCAGGTACCAGCACGGTATAGACCAACATTTTTTTCCGCTCGAGACCCGGTGATCCGTCGCCATGGCTGTATTGTGTATCTCCCGCTCTTTCACGGTCCCTTCACCCACGGTCCGTCAGCCATCAAGGAACTGGTCGGTAGGCACAGTGCCATGGCTAGAGGTACTGTGCTTCGTGCGACGGCTTACAGCGACTCGACGGTGCTCGAGGAGTGGCCGAACAAGGGGATCGGGGTTAGGGGCTCTAGGCACAATGTGAGCAACAGTGGATGGACACGCGCATCGGCGACCGTATGCAGTGCGGCGGAGCACAAGCATTGGTTCAACAGCTGGTCAGATGGCTGACGTCGAGCATGTACAGCTCGAGAAGTTCGACAGCCTGGATCGCTTCGGTCTAGAAAGATGCGCTCCGGAGCGACTTTTGTCACACTGTTTGAGATGGCAGCTCGATGGATTGCGGACCCGCAGAGGCAGAAGCATGCACGGACCATTGTAATCAGCTAGTTGTTTCCTATTATTGCCCCAAGATCAAGCAGGAAGCGGCGTCTGGCTCGCTTCGGCCCATGCCGAGAATCTCGCTCCTAGCAGCTCAGATGTGGCGGACTTCTTCCCTGACGTCGTCCACCCAGCCTGGCAGCTCAGGATGTCTCTCTTGATAGATACTCAACTCAAAGCGTCTGTGAGGCGGGTGATGGACATCGCATGCAATTATTTTTTCGACAAATGTCTTCATGATCCTGAGCCTATCCACCTCGTGATGGTCCCTCCAACCGTACTCTAGACCAGTGCGAGGCAAGATGCGCTTTCGAGCAATGATGCTGCCGATGCCACGCTCTGAAGGAATCACACCGATTGCCTGGTCAGACAGCAATGTCAGCGCTTGCATGAGATGCTGCATTTTCCTATGCTCGCTATCTGCTAGGCCGATAGCTTTTGCAAGGATCGTATGAGCCATGATGCTAAAGACACTACTGATGTAGATATTCCTGACCATGATCGAGTCTGAATTTCGAATGATGGCCTGACGAACGGCCTCCTGCAGCGACGAAAACCTTTCTACACATGCCTCTTTTGCCCGACGACCTATGACCGTACAAGTCTTCGAAGTCTGGCAACTCCATGACATGAGCTCCACCTCATGCATCACTCTACACAAAAATGGCAAGGTCCGAGACCGCTGAATCGGAGGCAGAAGTTTCGCTATGTCGATCAGAAGCTCAGATGGAAGATCCAACAGTCTCACTGACATGTCTGCGTCTACAGACTCTGTGCGTCAGAGTCAGGTCTACTTATTCTTTTGATATCCGACGTGAGCACTGCTCACACGTAAGCTTAGTGCTTGAAGAGACACCGGTGTTGTCCCATGCCTGGCACATACTTATCAGAGCTTAGTAAATCACATGTACAAACAATAACGCGATCATAATTGGAAAGTTGTGGAAGTCCTGACGGTATCCAATCTCTCTTGAGATGCGGTCTTGTTGTGCGACTTTCTGTGCTCATCATGCGGAGAATCTTGGACGTGCATTCTGACCGGGAGGTTCAACCACCTCTCTTGCGTCGGGGCATCGATTAGGAAGAGTCGAAAGTCATGTAATACTTCACGCAGAGGCGTGTTCAAGGGGCAGATCACAGTGGACTCTCGACAAATTAGCAGACAGGATCATTTGCGATGCCGATCTTTGGGTTTCGTAGCTAAAATTCCATCGCCACATGCCCTACGGTACGACTTGAAGCATGCAAATTATATCTTGTATGTCAATCAGGCAGCCATGTCGATGAGGAAGCATCGACTCCACGATGCTAGGGTGCAGAGAAGGAATACTCATCCTCGAGCTCTTAGGGATACGTGTAATCCTATTCCTGGCACAAGACGATCACATCAATGAGTATTTAACCTATTTGATACGGAAAGATTTGTAGACACTCATGCACACATGCGCTTCCTCAGATAAGGCTCTGCACTTCCTGGAATAACCAAAACAAAATGCTAGAGCCAGGGTCTAGTCTCTACTCAACAGATGTCTTGACAGCAGTAGATTCGACAGAGGAAACATGATGGAGACCGGATCTTACGACTGTACTTCTTGAACCATGATCGTCCAAGACTTGAACTTCTACTGTCGATATCATTGAATCCGCGGATCACAAATCTCGCTATAAACCCCAACATCTGGACATGCGATCAGCATCATGTTCCAAATGTTAAGCGTTAAGTACAGATGGAAAGTAGCACTGGATACAAGAGTGAGTAGTTTAGGCACTTCTCAAACAGCTGGAAGTAGAACGAACCAGATCAGGACAGTCGTCAGATACATCAGACATCCCGGCATTGCGTCTTTGGGATGCAAAAGCAACAACGTAACGAGAATGATCGGCGTATTCACCATCAAGACTCGATGCTTCGGATTTAGGAGTCGACGTTGAATAGCCGAGATTTGGCTCCTTTCTGGGGGACTTGTGGATGTTTTCGAACTTTCATGATAGTTGTAGATTATGAAGTTATGGATTTCATTTCGGCAAACTGCGTATCCTACAACTGTACCACAAGTGCTGGAAAGAAGAAATACTCTCCGTGTTTGACTCGTGTAGAGTAACGAGACTGCTGGAAGGTGCATAGGCGAGCAGCCGTCATGGATCGGTGAGAGTAGAGCTGTGTGCATAGATCGAGAACGGCAACGATATCCATGTGACAAGTATCTCTTTCTCATCTTTCCCTGTCAGCCTCATGATTGTGAGCTTGAAACGTCCATAAGGAAGGTCGTCTATTACTTTCCGAGAAGAGGTACTGAGCGTAGGAACTACAGAAAAGGATGACACGTAATGCGTAGAAGATATTGTACAGTTTAGCAAGACTGCAGAAGCATCGCAGCAGGTTTGCAGAGAGGGCCCATGTTGTCTCATCATATCTTTGGTGGCGTAAAGTAGTCTCCAGGTATGGATGTTAGGTCTGGATATACATGCGGAGGCCCGAATGGACCAACTTGTACAGAGGTCGTTAGTAAGATGATGCAGTCATTATCTCTCACCACCATTTTGTCACAAATCAAGGCCCTGGATCGGAGACGCTGAGCAGCCGACCTTGCATTGACGATCGCCTTAGGACATCTGGACGAAGATCGAGTTTGGCAATGCAAGCACAAGACTTGGCGTCTTCAAGATTGTGTCGGTACTGCAACTGCTCTTCGAATGGTCGGAGACCCAATATCGACCATGGTTTGCAAAGCACGCTCTGGTCAATGGTTGAAGCCAAAAAGATATCCATGGCCGGGCCGACCGATTGTGTGATGCTGTCCAGCAGATGGGCTTCGACAGCTTATCTCTTGTGAACGTACTATCGCATACCCGGCCGTTCAGCCGTCTGATCACATGAAGTCGTAAAGTGTCGTCTTCAGATTCAAACCTTTCGCTTTCGTTCGCTACAACTAGCGATTGATATATGAACGCCAAAGTAATCTGATACTCTCGCACGTAAGTGTCAAAGTTTGATGATATCCAAGCTTCTTGGTAGCTATATGGACGATGAGGAATATTTCGAGCGACATACAGGTGTCTCGTGGTATGAGTCCTTCGGTCTTTCTGATAAGCCGAGCCGATAAGACGATTAGCCATGACGGCAAAGACATATATCTCAGTCCAGATATTCACGGGTGCCTGGCGGTGGGAGGGGCGTTAATGGGAAACCTAGACGGGCACGAGGGGACATAGTCTCGTGGTGAACGTCCAAGGTCGCTAGGACAACAGCTAAGGACACTGTCTGCGTATAAAAGCTCGGAAGTGAGATGCGATCTGGACGTCTCTGGACCAAAAACGAAGATTACCAAACCCCGCTTCTCTTGTAATGAGCATCTAGAAGACCCTTTGGTACAGGGAGATTACACCACAATGTCGTGCACATTGGTCCTTGACGAGCAGGAGCGTCAGTCTGAGTAGCTCTACGATGCTCGTTACGCGACGTTTACTGACAAGCGCGGGCGCTGACCAATACTCGTAGAAAAACACTTCCGCAAGGGGAAGAAGCAGGAGATATAGCCATAGTCATATGAAAGAGCTGAGAATGAGGCGATCGGCGGATCAGAAGACAATCATTCGTGTTTCATTTAGTAACATGCCCGGAGAGGTCATAAATAACAAGCTGGCCTGATAGATAGTATGAGGTTCCTTCGAGCGATTCATGGTCAGGAAACTCGAAGTTGAATGACTCTGGCTACACATGCGAATCTATAAGGCCAGGTCATAACCGATCTAGTCTTAGGCAGAGTTTTGAATTGGTTTCGCACGTGAAAGAAGCGTAGGTTCTTGTAATCTCTGTCATGACACCATGTCGTTGCATGGGGTTAAGTCAACTTCTTGATTTGATCGTTTACTCAAAATGTGGAAAAACACCTTCGAAAGAGTAAGACTCTAACACGTGCAATCAATAGCATCTGCTACAGTCGAATGGCTCATTATGTATTCGGCGACATCTAACGAAGACGAAGTTTCCTAAAGAAAGCGTCCCGTTTGCGTGATCGATGCTTTTTTTCTTTTTCTTCAACTCCGGATATCAGATTGGGAGTTGTTGGTAGGGGAGACAGAAGGGTTGCATCCTGTGCGAGCCGAGAATTAGGACGTTCGGACAAAACAGTCCAGTAGTCAGGCACTTTATCAATAGCAGCAGGCTCTCTAGGCAACATTCGCAGGGCTCTTAGGTCCTGGGCTGTTTCAATGGTATACTTGTGCTCGGGCCCGAGTGCCTTCTCCTTGCCGGCTAGAGCTCGCACATACATCGCTTCCGCTTCTGCAAGCCTGCCTTGGCGGCGGTAGAGATTGCCTAGGTTGTTGACTGTGCTAAGTGTAGACGTGTGCTCGGGCCCGAGTGCTTTCTCGTACCCGGCTAGTGCTCGCTTGTACATCGCTTCTGCTTCTGCGAGCCTGCCTTGGTCGGCATAGAGGTTGCCTAGATTGTTGACTGTCCCGAGTGTAGACGTGTGCTCGGGCCCGAGTGCTTTCTCCTTGCCGGCTAGAGCTCGCACATACATCGCTTCCGCTTCTGCAAGCCTGCCTTGGCGGCGGTAGAGATTGCCTAGGTTGTTGACTGTGTTAAGTGTAGACGTGTGCTCGAGCCCGAATGCCTTCTCGTACCCGGCTAGTGCTCGCCCGTACATCTCTTCTGCCCCCGCGTGTTGATCTTGATCTGCAAACATGCGGGCTAGCTTCTCATATGCCCATAATTCGTTGACATCTATTTCTGTATGTGTCTCTTGCTCTATGCCTTTGAGAATTTCCTGGCCGTGCGGCAGTAGTCTTCTCTGAAGAATCCAGTACTCCTGCATGCTCTCGGCGGGTACCATCTGTCCAACTGTGTCTACCGCTAGCTTCCGGAATGAGCTTCTCTCAATCTCGCTTCCCCCTAGATAGCGGCACCAGGAGTGTAGAACGGAATGCATAGCGTAGCTTGCTGTCTCTGTTCTTCCCTCCACTAACGAGTATTTGATGAGCAGCGCCAAAGCGCGGTCAAATCTCAGCTTATCATATGCCAGCACTGTTCGCCAGCCCGGCACAACAGTCTCTGGTCGAAGTTCTTTAGTACAAGCAACAAGCTCATACCAAAGGTCGCCAGCATAGAGGAAACTCCAGAGTTGCAACAGATTGCTGGCCTCCTCGCTCTGGCTCTTCACTTGCTCGTAAGATATTCTCCAGGTCGTCAACACACTTCGTTGTGCATACTCTTGCAATGGATACTCGTCTTGCAGTTCCATCAGGACTTTCCACGTGCTGTCGTAGTACTCCAGGTATTGATTGATGCTCACAGCTGTTTGGCTAATGTAGGCTCCGGCTTGTGTCAGAGCAAGAGGAAGTCCTCCTAGCTTCTCCAACAGTGCATCCACGCTACTGTCGTCTTGCGCTATGATCATTTGTCAACTTGAGCTCGCTTGCTCGGACAATCTGATATCAAAATGTTTTTATCGTACCTAACACGTTTTCTCCACCCGTAGCTACCAGAATGGCTCGACCTTGGTCACGATCAACCCTGGTAAGGCGTAGGCTGTTTCGAGGTGCCGTCAGCGTCGATAGCCTGCTTGTGACAAGCATATTACCGTGGTCTACTGCTGGGAGATACTGTTTAAGATCATAAGCCTGGGGATCTTTCTCTTTGGTCGTGTGATCACGGTCGACGTTGTCGACAACAAGGAGCCATCGTCGGTTGGACGCCAGAGACAGCCAGTCCAGTACGCCTCGTACAATGGAACGCTGATCCGGACTGGCTTGTTCCGCAGCACGGACGAGACCTAGCGGCACCTCATCAGCAGGAAGCCTTGCAACAACATCGATGAAGGACCGTTGCAGAGCATCTTCCGACGACCCATCGAGCCAGAATACTGCACTAAACTTTTCATGATGTCGCCGAACGAATTCGACGCAAAGCTGCGTCTTGCCGATGCCACCAAGACCGTGAACGACAAACATCTTGCGACGAGCGAGATGGAATTGCTGAGGGAAGAAATGTTCCTCCAGTTTTTGCATATCATTGACTCGTTGCACAAAGTGATCGATGGCGGGTACACCCTTTAAGCTGAAAGCGACTATATGCTTGTCTGAAACATACGACGTTAGCGTCAGCGGACAGCACCTGGTGTGCAGGTGAAAGTTTGTTAGGAGGTATTGGGCATACTCGCAGGCCCGAGCTTCTCGACTTCTTGCACACTCAAAGCACCTAAAAGCTCTTTCGCGTATGCTGCCGCCGTCGCCGCTGCATACGGCTGCCATCTGTCGTTCTTGTGCGAGTCCGAATAGTCCGAGATGTTTCTGACCACCAAGCAAGGAAAGTCGTTCATCAAGCCTGCCGCCTCCATCTCGAAACACATAGCCTTATCCGCTGCCGCTCTTCTGTCTCTTTCTTCTCCATTCTTCATCACCAGGTCCCCTGACAAGATAGTGCCATAGAAGACCTGAGGCGTGTCGTCGTCCCGGTCGGTACGCTGGACCATCCGGAGATTTGATACGCAGTGGTCACAGGTTTGACGGTCTTTAGGGTGAATCTCTTCCGCACCAAATAACCGGTCATGCTGTGCACCTTGGAAGCCGTATTTTGTCGCCATCCTGCGGTTACCCGCTATCGCAGTCAAGTATCGAGGGAAGTCGGGATCCTTCCGCTCATGTTTTGCTCGAAGTGACGTCACTGCGCCTAGGAGAGCTTTCGGAGGCTTGTCCAAATGCCCCTTGCGACGGAAACCATCGGACTCCAGCTTCCCAGATCATACTGCACCACTCCCCCATGTATACCTTCTGGCATGCTCACGACCACGTCACCGAGTCGGATGTCGGGGACCTGACTGGGTACACCTCCACCGATTCCGACCATCAGACCGAGCTTGATGGGGAAGCTATACATCATGTGTACAGCGAGTGTTGCGGCAGCCGCCTTGCCTTGATGACCGCCAGGAAGGCAAGCGATGACCACGTTGTGCTTGCCAATCTTACCGAAGGTATAGCTGTTGTGATCGCCAGACTTCTGCTGTAGCTGTTCGTGCTCTTCGTCGAGCATTGCCTCCATGGCCGCTTTCTCCTCCACAAGAGCTCAAATGATGCCGATGCCATACGCATTACGAGGTAAGGTGACGCTATTCATCTTGAGGCTGTGAGAAACCTGCGGCAGCTGGAAGAGGAAAGAAGTCCTGCGTGACTGATGGTTGTGGGAGTGAGAAGCAATGGTTGATTCTGTTAGAAGGGCGAAGATCCACCAACGCATCGAGGACTGGACTCAGCATCTTCAGCCTGATTCGTATTAGGCCGCCGGCACAGCCACTGGTGCATCGAATGAGGCTGCGCTCGGAATGTAAGATGCATGCAGTGGCAAGGATAAGCGACGCGCATAAGCACTTAGTGACGCACCATGCGCCGTAGCTACCTGCTGTGTGTGGTAGATATCGTTATACTGCAGATTGATAGAAACATATAATGTCAAGAGATCCATCGCACCTTCAACGATCGCGATGTTCGAAGAGCTAGCCTGTCATCTTGCAAGTCAAGAGAGTATGACATAAATTTCAAGCTGAGGTCAAACCTCGTTTGTGTTTGACCCGTCCGGAGTCCGACCCCACATCTCTGTTGATCATCCGTAAACCAATCACAAAGTGATCTGTATCGGTCTGGACTGGAGCGGGGTCTACCGAGGCTGCGATCCGCGCCAAGAAAATTGCTGCCTGGACCAAGCTCGCACAACTGAAAAGGCACATCAGTGTCTTCACCATGCTGCTTATCAATGTTTTATGATATCGATCTTGTTATCCTTCTTCCATCACGGAGCCAGTTTCTTTCAATCGCCTGTGTATGGGTATCTGTGCTTCAATCGACACCATTCAGGACCGTCGATAGGTGCAAACCGCAGCGGCTAAGTATCTCGTCGTGGAAGAGTGAAGTCAATATTAGCACGTTCACTAGAAGTTCTCGAGTGGTGCAGAGGGGTCCCAGATGCTTTGCTAGTGTATGCTAAGTCGTAGTCGTCTTTGGAATGTATGCTCGGTCGTCATTGGCTAGCGATTGCCCGGTGTTCTCTCTGTTAGTACAATTCAGGTAAGACGATTGGGCTAGAAGCAGGATTAAAGCTGCCAATAGCCAGGAACAAAGCTTCCTCTTTATTAGCAGCTCTGGGCTATCTCATGGTCAGATATCGCAGTGAACAGAAAGCAGGAGGCCTGGAGCAATCTCTAGCAACGTCTGCGACAATTTCAGAGCGGATCAACGGTTGGCCTGTCGCAGGCAGTATCAGAATGCAAGTGGGCCATATACTAAGTAAAAAAGAAGACACGAATTTAGCCTAACAAACACAGTGTCGTGACCCATAGCAAGGCTGTTTGAAACATTCCCACGCACGTCTCGGGTCGTCGAATGACGAACGAACACTGTTCGGACTTAGAATCAAGATAGCTCACGGCACGAGTCCATATGACTGTTCTGGCACCATAGCTGCCGAAGTATCTCGACATTTAATGTCCTGACTGTCAGTGCATTACAAACAGCATTGCGGATCGCTGTTCTGATAGCACAGAGTTATGATCAATGTGTTGCGCAGATGACCCTGGCGGCTTTTCGAAGCCAAAGATCGAATCTGACCATTTGTGCTGATGTCAGTCACGACCTGATCTGGCCAGATGGCGTGGCGTATACGAAAGTGTAACCAACTAAGACCTTGCTTGTTCTCAATCAATCATTCCTCGTCAAGAGAACGAAGAAAAGAAGTAAGTTGAACGAAAATCACTAAGCTCGGCTACCTGCAGAATAAAAGTGGCCTTGACACCGATTGGGCAGAATGTCTGTAAGAGGATTTCGGGTGCAATCAAAGCAGTGGTCACCACAGAAGTTTGGCGACAACACCTGATGATCTGCAGCTACTCCGGAGGCGAGCATACCTGAGCACGGTGGGCAGTAGCAAAGACGAGCTCTGCTGCGTGGTCATTGATTAGCATTTCCCTTCTAGGCTCGACGGCCCTCTGCTAGCCACTAACAGTCAACGTGAGTGTGACGCCAGTCTTGCACACGGCCGCCATATGCATCAGCTTGAGTTTGCACAGTTAACATGGCAAAGAATAGAAATTGCATGGATTATCATCAGGAATACACTCAATGAAACAGAGATTCCTCAAGATAAAGTTTTTGGTTTCGGGTAGTGGCGTATGCCAAAGCCACGAGCTCCAGCTTCGGCTGCTTCTTGACAGCGTTATAGAATCATCTGACGATATCCACACCTCCGGCACTTGTCGCAATCTTTGAAAAGCGACAAGAATCATGTAAAGCTTAAGCAAATATACGACATCTCTTTGTTCATAGGACCGAGCATCTGATGCATACACACAAACACTACGATTCCTGCTGCGGGCTTTCCCAAGAAGCGTACCAGCTGCGTCGTTCTGAGGGTAGCTCGATAGTTGCGGGGGTAAACAGCGTTCAAGATTTAATTGTAATTGGTCGAACATCGTTCAGCTTGGTTTGAGTGGCTGCGAGCGACCAAAGCGACACTTTAAAGCTCGTTAATTCGCCATATCGCTCACCTTCGCTCACGTGTCGACCAGATCAATCTTGCCGTCTTGATTCAAGCGATGCCTAGCTCTCTGCGAAGCATCCCGTGTAGTGGCTTGACATAATGTCGCTTGTCGGTACACTTCTCTTTTGCGAAGATTGTGGTGATCTGGTAGATCGATGTCCTCTCGAACAGCGTACCATCTCGTGCAATGTATGCGAGAAGGAGGAAATCAGTATCAAAACCTTACCGTTACTTCACTCATCCAGAAAACAGACTGCAGTAGACAGATGGCCAACCGCTCAAACGACAATGAGCACTCCTGGAACGTTCCCTTCGAGACTCCGTGATAAATTGTCTGATATCCAAATTTTGTCTGCGGCCTATAGGGACACCTGGACATTGACGCCAAAGACTTGTCCAAAGTGCGAACACTCCGAGATGAAGTTTCGCGATGTGTAGCTTCGTGGCGTCGACGAAGGTAGTACGATCTTTTACAGGTGTCCTGCATGCGATTATAGGTATGTGACCAAAAACTTTGAGAGATAACACGAAGCCGATTAAAGAAACCTTTAACGAGAACAATTGATCATATTTTTTACGGTCCACGTCAAGGACTGTATACAGGAATTGTTTTTTTGATTGGTCTCAGAGAGCTTCGATATGTACACCTGTGTTGTGATTGACTTCGCGTTCAACAGCAACGATTGTTGCCGGTTGATCTCTGGATCTAAGTTTCGTGCTGAAGCTTGAAGATTTTGTCAAGACAACTATGCTTAACATTTTATATCCCAGCTGAGACAGAAGTCAATCTTCTTTCGCTATCATAGCACTCCCGTTCTCCCAAATCTCTGTTCAGGCTCCGAAAATGCAATCCGATCAAGCCTTACCACTTCTTGCCTGTGTATACGGAGAAAAATGCATGGTTCTTGCTGCCTTTTACAACAGCGCGGATTCAGGTGTATTGACGATTGAGCAGCTGTGCAACACACGGTCATGTCCTTTGAGAGCTTGTCTACAATTAAGCTTTTATACCAACAGTCAAACCAACAGGCAATAGAATCGAAAAGCGAGTTTAATGGCAGGATCACTGAGAAGCTCATCCGGCCGAACTGCGACCAGGCGCTTCACCCTCTTTTGGTTGGCGTCACAGCATTTGCATGTCAGCGCTGTGACAGACACGATAACCGAAGGAACTCAGAAGGCTAAATGACAGCCATGATGGAGTTTGTAAGAAGCGATTCTTGCGCTTCGCATTATTTACAACAAGGCACATTCGTAGTGCGAACATAACTAAATCTCAAGATTTACGACGGTGCTGTTTAAGAGATTGCGTCAAAAGGATTGGGCGAACAGCTGAGACCTGGAGAAGGAGCGGGGAAAGATCATTGTGGTTCTATCGCGCCACTCCAGGATCATAAGGAGTGCTCTAGAAGTTACATGGACGTTCAGACACGGAGCGAAGTCCTCTACTAATGTTCGAGACACGCAAAGTCACCTCGCGTCTCTGTAGTATGCTGATCTCACGTGTAAAAATCTATATCATTAGCCATCGGATTACATATGTTCTTATTTATAGTCCAACCATAAGTTTTCCTCTTACAGGCTTTCGAATCGGCTACCTTCGGACACTCTGGAAATTTGCTGCACACGTTTGAACACTTCTCAAGAGTTTCATCAGCAAGATATGAAGCGTCTTCGAGCTCTATTTCCTATCTGGTGTTACTGACGAACGTCTGTACGAGAGGATACGACCTGACTCATGCATTGAGCAAACATTCTGGCAGCGCATTGTGACTTGATAGATATCTTACACGATGTGATTGTACAAGAATTTGATAACAACATGGTCACTATAGACCAAGACAACTTGATGTGACGCCATACAGACGATTTATACCACGTACGTGGGTCTCAGCTGGAGGACTGTGCAAATTTCAGCTGCCAGTTTCTGCGGATGTAGCCGGACTGTTTCCACGATGCTTGTACCATGCCGTATATAAGAGCAAGTTGTTTTTGCACCTGGACTCCATGTCATACCATTGGAAGCATAGCAAATGCTGGGGTACAGACCAGTGGATCAATCAGTAAGCGACGAGTCTCCACGGCCTCCACTACGCGAACTTTTGAATCTCCCAGATCATGAGGCGAATGTGGTGCATTCGAAGAGCAGAAACAATCTAGCCTGAAAGGAGATTTCATGTTGCTTCGACGTCTCATCAGTCTCCTTGCGTACGAACATCTGCTCTCTCTACGTACAAAGTCTTGGTCAGTAGTTGTGGGCTTTCACAGGATGTTTTCCTCCTTGCATCGAGATACGCTCGATCTTGTCGGTTTCACGTTGGGCAACCATGACAACGCTCGTGGTAACGTACATCAAAACTGTACCCTGCACCTCGAGGCTCTGAATGGCACAAGCTTGTTCGATATACTTCCGAAAAGAAGCCAATCTGGATTGCCTTTCCTACTTTTGTGCAAAATGTCTTCTACTCTTGGTTGAATATTTACATGAGCTTCAACACCCAAGCGAGAGAGAAAGTTGCTTGGAAAGCCGCTTTTCTGGTAGTGCAAACTGGTAGATTCCGCAGCACCATTGCCTTCTAACACTCTCAATCACAATTGACGTACCAACGTCCACAGTAAATATGATCCCTATGCGTGCATGGCTTCTCGGGTCTTTCTTTCGGCTCATCTCCAGATTTAGCACGATTTGACGAAACCAGTAGTTCCAGGTTGGGGAATCTGAATGACGTCCTCAGCCAACAACTTCTGCTGGTCGCCTTGCAAAGCGTGAAGACGCAAAACAATGCGATATGCTCGGCTTCTCCAAGTTTGCACGATGTCTTTGGGAATGACTGTATGGATCGAGAGCCTTGCTACACCGATAATTCCGGGAATGTTGTTAAACTCTTCGATTGTTGGAATCTTCATAGAGCAGATCTCTGCTGCGAAGACACACACGGTCCCAGTAGGTTGTCGCCGGTCCTCAGAAAGAGTCGCAGACATATGCATCGACGTTGCCTGAAAATCCTCGCTGGTGTTGAGAGAGATAATGTCTACCTCTCCTGAGAGGATAAATACCCTTTGGATCCACTGCCATTTTGCGTGGTGTCGCAATGTAATCGCTGGACCATCGGAAGAGTTCATGTTGAGCTGATATGCAGAAAGCATCTGATGCTTGCTATTCGAAGAGATGATAAGGAAGCTGAATCACAAAGAGGCAATAACATGGTGTATTTAAACAACCATGTCCGGGTTTAGGCGTGCTTCGTCTATATGGCGTGGCACTTGGGCTTCCGTACGAAGACTTCAAGTCCTCCATACATGCGATCGGGAGCTGATGAGGTGCTCCGGTGCAAAGTCATCGACAATACGGGTACCTATGCTGCATTACAAGCGAACATATCGACGCTCCTTTGAGCCTGCTTGCCGATGCAAAAGAGCTTTATTGAGATATTATAGGGTGCTCGGTTTGGTCAATCTGGCGGCTGTGCGTACAACCTGTCGTCATAAATACCCGCCATATCGGGCTGGTGTCATATCATCTGGAATCCAGCTGCATTTGTGTGCAGCATCTGTTGAGCTTGAACCTGAGACTCAATGACAGGAAGGCGCATGCTATCGCGACATCCTTTTCACAGTTATGATGAATTTTGACCATTGTAAGTGCTTCGGCGAACCGGGCAGATCGTGCATGCAGTCATAATAAGCTAGTAGGAAATTTGCTTTTCTCGATGGAAGCACATTAAAACCTTGATCATCATGTCTATGCACTGCCGTCTTAAAAGACTGAAGGGCTACCACAAGATCTCACTGCCTCTTTGAACAATGCAATAATCGAATCATCGGGTCGAGTGTGTGCCCCAGAAGCGACCTTGTCGCAACGTTTCACAGTTGTGATCGTGATGGTATCCTTCAATGGGTGAAAGTTCCACTCAGCTTCGACAAGATCTAATTGCACCTGCAACGGGTTCTGCACAGCAATGGTTCCACTATTGTCGGGGATTGAATATTCGAACCAAGGAGATATCGATTTTGATGCACAGCAGAGTGCAAGCACGGTCTGGAGTTTGTTCTCCAGTAGAAAGCATGCTAGTTCGTCCAGGAACAGGCATTCTGCAGAGGCACCATGATCCTCTGTTGAGTATTCATATGGTAGAAATCCCATATCCTCATCCAAAAAGTAGGAGCATGCGTGGAAAAGGCGCGAGTCGAAGGTCTTTGCTTGACAAATGTCGACCTCTTGGTCGAGAATTTGTAGCTTGGAATGCACCATCACCGAGCCTATGTTGGTGTCTTGGTGTCGATGGAGCAACGAGATGCCAAAATGATTGTGGACTTGGTGCTTGACGAAAAGCGACGCCAAAGTTGCAAGAGTTGTCAGGGGTATTTCATGCTCCTGCTCTGTAAAATCCTTTATCTTGTGATAATGCGCGGTAGCTATCGCACCATCTGCCACGACTCTGTATCGGTTTCCCTTGCGGATCATCATGAGGGTGAATGCTTCGAGGTGTGTCAGGCTGCCTAAAATCGAGGCTGGATTGTGATCTTCCTACCCAATTGGACCGTGCCCGGCACGTGCTTATAAACGCCGACATTTCAAAGCTGTCGCATCGTCAAGCATAAGCGTCTGACTCCTCACGGTCTCCCACATCGGCATGTTGACGACATGGACGAAGACTCGAACGCTCGCAGATACTCCGAAGAATACCTTTCTGCTGTTGGTAGAGGATTGTCAGCGAATGATATCGCCGCCGCAGTTGAAGTAATCAAAGACGCCCGACCTGAGGAAATCTACACAAAATACTCCGAAGTACCTTTCGTCTATGATCCACCCATATGAATTCAGACAATCAATCAATCGATTCAGGTAGACAGCGGTGTCGAGCATTCTCATACAGTATCTGTTTTTGACATCATCAAGAGATATCCTCAAGATGTCATTGATAGTATTCTGGGGTATTTCTTGTTCCTCTCTCAACACAGCACAAGCCGATAAAAGTAGGAACTTCTGGAAATTAGCGACTTTGGATGCTATCTGCGCGTTAAGATCCCTTGTAGTAGCAGAACGAGCATATTGCTGGACACGACCAGCGACTCCCTGCATTTGCTGTGTGATATCTTGCTGTACGCACAACGTTGATACAGGACGATTTTCATCCAATAAGAAGGCAGCTGCATTATCGTCGACCATGATTGTGTAGATATTGGCTTCTTTGATTTTCCGGTTCCACTCAATTGCTTTAGGCGTTTTTAGTACCAGACTTTCTGCTTGGTTTTTCCATGGTTCGTTCACATTCACCTTGCGGCGTTTATTCCTGTACTCGGGGTCATAGTGCTAGAATTCGATTTCGTTTGCTAGAGAAATTTTGGTGTGTCTCGAGTTGTTTGGTCGGTGCACTCTTCGGACCTCAGGGTTAGACTGCAGCGATCCAGAAGTTGGGTGTCCTGGGGATACATCCGTCGTATGCTGTGACGGTACTGTTGGCACCAACGGATTCGAGAAATGGCTCGTACGCAGACTTGAATAGCACGTTGAGTATGTCTGTCTTAATTGACGAACTTCCACCTCAAGATAAGAGACATCATCGGCAGTTGTTCAAGCAAATCCATCGATTCTAGCAGCCATGCTACAAGACGTGACTTCTATCGTGATGTTCGAGAGAATTGTATCGACTTGGAGCAATCTCAAGGTAGGTCATGATACTTATATCCCAATCGGGGTGGCAGGATCCTGCCACCTCAGAACGGTTAGCGCTTACCTACCTCGCTCAGAAACAACCACTTGAGACAACCACTTTCGCGCTCAAGATTCCGATCCTCCCCAGGCGATAAAGTGTGCTGTAAGCTTCACCAGTGGACTCTGCGTGCAGCTGCCACGGCACTGATATCCTATTGCAGCACACCTAGTCTATTTTGAAACTACGCATCTACTATCTAGCTGCCGATCGATTTCTCGCCCGACACTGGAATTCTGGTTGCCGTGGATGACATCGCTTTGGCGTATCAACTACAACGTAAGCAAAGGACGCTTTTGTCGGAAATGCAGCATGCAGATAGCCTGGAATCAAGTCTTTCTGCAGCTTCGTACGCATAACTCTGGAGGCTCACCTATCGCTACTTTGTAGTAGATCTCCGTTGTTTACCACCTCCAAGCGCTAACGATAGGAAACTGGTGGAAAACTCCTTATCAATCCATATTTGAGTTATCTGATCTCGAAATTTCCTTGTGACCGTAATGTAGCAATAGGGTGTCCACCGTGTGGCTAAACGATGCGAAAACGCTAGGTTCAAACTTGAGCACTTCCATGCTTACCTGCCGGTCAGCCTACTGTATTCGTGAAGGGATCGATCATTAGCTGATTTGCAAAACACCATACATGATTGCTCGGAACAATGTCAAATGATATGTGCCTTAGCAGCGAATATTGCGCTCAAGCTGGACAAATTCGCGATGTTGGCTGGGTAGAAAAAACGCTAGGAAAGGGCAGTCTACCAATTGATGCTCGTGTGATCTCCCACTGTCGTTTACTGCACCATATTCTACTTCGAACGTCGTTCGGTTTTCATCAGAGACCATAGGCAAAATGATGCGAATGAGATTCAAAACTCTGTATTGTCATAGCTCCACGATAACAATCTCTCATGATTCAGATGGTTCAACTGAGTATCCAATCGAGATCCGTGCTTCGCGATGCAGAACAACAGCATTTATAAGCATGAGAGCTTTCGACCGCGTTGAGAACCATTTACAGATGTGTAAGGTATACTGCCTCAGCCGAGCAGGCCTAGTTCAATTGGATCAGCTATGATATGACGGTCTCGTGGGGCAGACATATAACTAGAACACCAATGGTATAGTAGTTGTTGCTGGATATCCTAGCACTCTGTACGAACTGTATTGTCCACATCCTGCCATACCTTCAAGCTCTACCATACAAGGCTACACGCTTTTTAGTATCTCCTATATGTGGAGCCACGTTCTGGCTGATATCCACCGACAGCCAAAGCCACACGAGATCTTTCTTCTCTAGCATATTTGTAAAATAGGGCACGAGGTGGCTTCGATAGGATCTTGGAGATACGAGGAAGTAATCGTCGAACTTCATCACCAGTATCCATACTGGCCTCTCCCTGCCCTAGTGGTCTACCAATCAGCCTACTGGCAGTCTCTACTGCTGCTCTGGCTATGAGTGCTGCTGGTGTCGACAAGAACTCCGAATAACAAAGCGTGAGCTCGCAAATGTAGAGCACCATGTCATAGAGAGGCTTCAACTGTTGGAAATCGAGCAGCTCAATCTGCATGAATCCAATGACTGCGGGGAAGCCGACTAGATAGTCCAATGTTAGAAGCACCATCTTCTCCATCTGTGTGATATCTTGCAACTCATAACCAGAAAACAGACAACACCTCTCGCGAAAGCTCGACGCGGTGGACAAGCGGTTGAGATACTTGCTCGCCAAGAGAAGAGCGACACCACCTAGGAGTTTACAATGACATCTCTTGACGATTCTTTTTGAGCTGTATCTGTCAAGGATGTTGACTGCCAAGAACAGTGTATCAGCACCAAGTGCTAGATCGTTCTGGCACTTTGAAAGCAAAACGACCAGATTGTATCTCGACTTCCACCGATACTCAGGTTGTAGGGCGATTCCAGATCTGTCAGGCCGCGTTCTGATCTGACAAAGATATTAGATATGCGATGCACCACGCGGTTTCTGCGATGAAAGTGATCCCACCTCCAATGATGACATATGTTCCCTCATCTCTTCTCTGGAATTGCTTTTAGGTTGAGTCTGCACCCATCTTTTCTTTCTTCTTCCCCCCTCTGTAAACGCGATCGATACTTTGTCCATCAGATCATCCAGTCTCCAGAGGATCGAAGTCGTCGAGATGTAGCTCAGCCAGGTTATCGAGCAGTCCGTTCTCGATATACATGGACTGGGTATTATCTATCGTGGATAAGTGACATGTCCTCTGCTTCGGAGTTCTTAGCTCTCTCCATCGTGTACGTCCAGAAAATGATCATTAACCCCTGCTTCTACAAGATGCCCACGAGCCGAAGGTCAATTTGGAGTTTTACGACGCTTTCGTATCCTATGACTATGAGGTTCTGTCCGCGTCTTGGCGTCGGGCGACGTCTCAAACCATTCAGCTGTAAATTACCAGAAGACTGTAATCTATTCCACTCAACCTCAAATCCGTACGATCACTGGCACTCTAATTGCGAAAGACTTGGGAGAGACTGTTGTGATCTGGAATCAGAAGCACAGATTCCCGACTTCACAAGCGGCATCAATCCGCGGATAGAAAACACGACTAATCCCTATACTATGAGAAATACTGTGGGGTTGTAGTATCTCACGCACTACTGATCACTGTCGGATCGTCTTGTTCTTGATCTCCCGGTAACTACTGTAAGATCTCATATAGTAGTGACGACTGATTGCATACAAAGCAACCGAGTTTCCGAGCCAACCAAATCAGTGTCGAACCCTAGACATTCAACATGCATGAGGCTGTCGACACATAGCAGACGAAGCCTTTTCCGTGATGGGGACATACTGAGGAATTCAATGAGTGTTACTATGCATATACAGTGCAGCTCGGGTTCCAGTCGCGGGCGACCCACTTCTATGCGACTACCTTCGAAACTACAGAGTTCGAACACTCCCGCAGTAGCCTCTTCTTGAGCTCTGGACAACTGTTAGCGGATTGGAGTAACCTGAAAGAACTCGCTATGAACTGTTCAATCTCCGAATCTGGATCGATCCCCACATCTCTTATGAACAATGTGATCTGCAAGTAAAAGTCGATCTTTCGGTCATCCGCAGAAAGTCGAGCCAAAGTTCCAACATCTGTCATGCGCCTGAGGTCAGGACCTGAAGGGTCACTGTTTGCCACTATGTGCGTAATCTGCGTCTCTGAAGGATCTACGATTGACCGTGACTCGGGGAAGGTGTCTGGTGAAGCTGTTGTGGCGAGTATATGAGGACCTGTCGTAGTCCTGCTCTGAGCTTGTAGAGTCGAATCTCCAGTGGTATCATCCTCTAGACTGCTATGGGAAAACATAGTCAAAAGTCGGTGCTTCATGCTTCTTACCATAGTAAAATGAAAGCAGCAAGTGGCAAGAAATAGAAGCAGAGTCAATATCGCCTGCACCTTACAAGCAAATCTAGCAGTCTTACTCTCAACACTGATGAATATGCCGGCGAGACAGAGCTGCATGATATACAGGCCCACGAAGAGTTGGTTGATAACATTCGAGAATATCTCACCGTTAGTGCCTGCCGCACTCTCCTTGGATCGGTGCAAGGCTGGCTTTGTTGCCATTAGAAGCGCGAACAATTTTAAGCTGCTGGGCAATAAGGCTAGAGGAGTGATGACTGAATATACTGTAGCTACGGAAGTCAGCTGGAAGAACCAAGTTCCCATGGGTTACCCGAGCCTAGCGATCACTCCCAGAAGCGCGACTGTCGAGTACATCCCTGTTATGGAGAAAGGATCCTGTGAGGCGACCGCGGCGAGATGACGGGGCGTCGAGCTCAAGAAACGGCTCTTGAATGTTTTCTTGAGAAGATAAGCCCATTGCGCAATCATGTCTGCGAAAAGTGAAAATCCCTGTAAAGTCAAGAAAGAGATGAAATAGTTACCGGCTTTGGGGAGATTCAAGGCCAGCACTCTGGGTATTGCTGATGGCTTGTTCAGGACTTCAGACAATGTGACCATCAAACTCGACGAGATTGACACTAGCAAGAAAGCTTGTAAGAAGAGGAAGGCCGAGTAGTATCTATAGTACGCTATCTCGGCCTGAGCATAACTGACATGACAATGCCAAGAGGAAAGATATCGCAGAAGCGACGGAACAAGCGCTACCACCGCAGCGACAAGCAGTTGAGGTACAGCGCCCTGAAGGTATGCCAACGCGCGAGGAGGTATTCGGTTCACCCAGTAGAGCCACGAGATGTTTCGCGTCAAGTCTCCTATCTGACCGAGTGATGCACTGAAAGTCACCGGCAAGGCGAGTACGACGGACAATCCCAAAGAAAAGACTGTCATGATTACGTTGATCACTGTCCTCTGGGCCCTGGGTTTGCGAGCGTTCAACCAATTGATACAGTCTAGAGCTTCAGACACCGGATAAGTGTGCAGAGGCCAGATTGTTTGCGGCATAACATCGCGAACAATAGCCGAGTCTGCTTCGAAGATCTTCAGGATCGCTAGACTGGAGAAATCGTATTCGACATACGGCTTGGTAAGGCACTCTTGCATTCTCTGAAAACAGCGCACCAATCTTTGCCTCGTACGATTCGACATCTCTGGAGGCGGGCGGACGTTGGCTTAGTGCGTTTACTGGGCGGGAGCTTTGTACTGACCTTTATTGTGCTCTTCTCGACATACTTCTTTCTCTACCTGAGTCAGCGCTCGAAGGTATGGTTGGCCGTCGACGAATGGTGTCTTGTTGTCTTCCGTGGTGTGTAGTCTGACTTGACACGCATATAGCTTATGGAACATGGACTCCATCAAAGCTTTTTCGAGCCTGTTCGGAATATCAGTAACGAGGTAGAAGCGACTAGCCGTGCCGGAGTCGTGCTTGTGTCTAATGTCGACGAAAATTGCAAGCTCGCGACGCGAAAGCAAGCAGAAGAGACCCGTGAACCAGTAAGCCGCAGCCAAGTGTGTCCAAAGACGGCCAGTGTTGCGTTCGAGGATATTCAGGCAACTGAATTTGTCAAGGCCATGAATTGAAGAGTCTGAATGACGATGAACGTAGTTCAACGGCACCAGAAGGGGCACCATGAAGATGGCAGTCAAGCCGAAGATTGTCGTGAGCAGGCGAAGTAGAACAAAGAGACCTATAGCATCTAAACACGAGCTATCTAAGTCGTGGAAGATGGTGTAGAATGATCTGATATTCCTAGCATCGAAGAACAAGTCAATTCCGCTTGCTCCTGTGATACTTTAACAAATCTCACCATTTTCCGCGATATCTCCTGCGGAGGATGACAAACCCCCCGATCTGTACAGCTGCTACAAATGCACCAACCTGTATAGAGGCCAGGAAGCCATCGAAAGAATTTCCGTAGTCTTGTTGAGCCGATCCGTTACCAATGGCTATGGTGTTGGGATCCATGTGCGTATCACTTGTGTCTCTCGTCTGTGCGCAGTCTCATTGCCTGTACTTAGACTCATGTGAGATCTATATATTCGCATTGCAAAAGATGGATCTTGTAAGTGCGACAAACTCTTCGCTGTAAACCTCACTCAACGACCTACCAGCGATTGACTGTCTGACATGACAGCATCTTCCGCTCATGGTGTTCGTCTGGCTCAGAAGACTCAAAGTTTCACCAAAATCTCGAACATGGTCTCGTCAAATAATCAAGAATCTTGGTCGCGTGGTGGCATGGTTGTGTTTATACCGTCGGTATATTGAGTCAAAACCAATAGAACTGTGGGAATGCGGAGCCTTGGTCTTGATCGATCCTGCCAAGACAAGGCTGAGTGTGGACTAGCTTATGTAAATCAGAGAGCAAAATCCGTAGAGATGATGCAGTGAATCAGCATGTGGATCATTAGATGATCGATATGCAAGAATGCATAGAACATTGATTTTCTTTTTAGGACAGAGCAGAGAGAAACTCGGACTTAGATCGAACTCGAGTAAGACTTGGTCATGGAGTTTACGACATTGGCCCGAGGCATGATGTGGACACCATGAGATTGTGGTATCGAATCCTGACATCACGACTACCATTCAAACTTCGTCGCATTTCGAAGCCACCTATGGCTTATTGCAGCTACACTCTATATGCTAGCCCGACATTAGGGTATGAGGAGTACAGATCAGAGCCCCCCAGTCGACCCCAGCAACCGCTAAGGTAATAGGGTTAGGGAGCAGCTTATTCTGTCGAAGCACATTCTCTATTATCGTTCTTAGAGACCAAGTAAATCTCATCGGATTCGCGAGCCGGCGGAGGCAGGGGCTTCAGGCTTATGTCCTGATGCTTTGAAGCAGATCCAGGACGAGGCCCTCTGCCTGAAGCATGGGTCCGGAGATTTCGAAGCAGAACGGACATTGCGGGAAGTGAAGAGGTGATGATCTGATCGTCCATGTCAGCAAGACATCGTTGCTTACCAGCAGATGCTAGATCCTAAGTTTGTACTTGCCCCAACACAATTCTCCACAATACCCCAAAAGACAAGCATGGTTGAATCTCCATCATTGATCATGGTCTCAATCTGACATACCCGCGCCACGGAGCAAATGGGAGTCAGCAGTCCAAGAAGGGTTAACGCGATCGGGCGGGCACGTTCCGATTTGGTTAACTGTAGCTTACTTAGCAGAGGTATTGGCAATAGTATAGCGACAACATTAGTCACAAGCATGACGATGAATGTGCCATAGGACAAAGGCCTGGTAGCAAGGCATTTACCGTCAGTCTGTGGTAACCACGCTCTCTTGATTGGCTGGCAAGAGAGCAGGAAAAGCAGAAACGACACAAGATGGGCTAAGACGATGGAAGTTATTCCGAGGCGGAAATTTCGTTGGTGAGTGGAATCAGTCGCACGCTTACAGTACTCCAGGACCGCAAAGCCTAGGGCAAGATTGTATGCTGCTTTGGCCAGGATGTACGCCAGGTTTTCCACATAACCAAGCTGGAAGAGTGAGTGCTCGGAAGAATGGATAGAGACTAAGCCTCAGTCTACATACAAGAGTATACAGCTCCAAGTTGGCTTTTGGGAGAAGATCAAATGGCAATCCCAGACCAAGTCGAGTCTGAACGATCGCGAGGACGATATATACGACAGCAAAGGCCTGCATGTGATGAGTCTCAGCTAGCATTGCTCATAGGATCACATTCACATACTGTATACAAGCAAAGATGGTAGTAGCTCAGTCGGCCGTTCTTGTTAATCCGTAGACAATGATATCCTCGCAGAATGATGATCAGTGTCATCAGTGGAACAGACACCGCGCAGACTGATATCACCATTAGATATCTTGACTGATCAACAACCTCTGGTGACGCGTTGCGAATCCAGCCCATAATTTTGAGCTTTCAAGCAATAATCCAGCTTGCATCAGATATGGTGGGAGAAGCTCTCACGGATATATATACATATATATATCAAAATGAGATAGTGGAATGGTATGTGATCCCTGACTCTTGTAGACTTCCGTGATTACACCATCATTTGGTTCTCACGTTATTCACCAGCTCATTGTGGGCTTTGCACCTCGTGCATGAGGAATACTCAATTTCTCCTTGAACTCTGTGTCGTTGATGCAGCGCTGTATGACCCTCGCAGGCAAATCACCGTATGGTACAGCCGATTACTGTCTCAATCAAGCTAGGTTCTGATCAAAGTTCAGAAGACCTATACAATTATGCCATCGACACAATGTGAGGGCTGGAACAACCAATCGCGAAGCATATTGAGTGACACAGTCTGATAATCTGTCATGGTGAGTTAGACATGATACGCATATTATCATTTTCCAGTCCACGAGCCACTCAACCACCCTCATGACTGGCCATCGCCGGACGACAAGATTTACTCACTTGGATACCACCTGGCGCCGTTGAAGTATCGTTACATAGCCTAGTGCAGGCAGACAGCTTATCAATAACGAGCATATGTACGGTACGCCACATACAGGTGTTCCATGGGTATGGTTGAGGAGCGATTCTATACAAATCAATGGCGCCTCAGCAAAGGGGATTGTCACCTTTGCTAGTTACCGCCATGTCTGCTAGATCCACCACAGGGCTAGCGAGTTCAAGAGCGTCCGATAATGCTCGTACCATCTCAAGAAGCTGCTGCGCCTCGAGAGCAGCGACAGCCTGCATAGATTCGCCAGCACACTTCAAATACTCTCTGTTTTCTCCACGATTACCATTGAAGACAGACCAGTTGGCTCTTGCGATGAAGCATGCCAGCTGTAGATTCCACACTTTGCAAAAATCTTGCAAAAGTTCCCTTCTCTTTACAAGAAGCTCAAGACCTGAGAAGAGAGACTGTGACATGGCAAGATTTCCATATACCCATAGATAGGCTCGCAGATGCCGAAAGCCAGATATATTGCTGTCATACGAGGCTGGTGACGCGGATAAAGAATCCAGAAAGTGGGTCACCGAGTGGAGAACGCTAAGATCCAATGCCATTCCTTGGATACCGAGTGACGGAGATTGAAGCGAAGGCCGGGCGTTGTGGTTGTGGACTGGATGTTGGGCAAGATGCGTAACGATGTATTTAGATTCCGGGCTATAAGAAGTTCAGACAGCTGGAAACAGGAGGCCGTCCCCTTCAAACCATGCTTCCAGGGTCTTCCTGGAAGCACATTACCGTAGAAATTCAAAGTTCAGTTTGCGAGACTCCTGTCAAGTCCAGATCAGCAGTGATTATGCCGGTCGCTGATCGTCGCATAAGTGGTTGGGCGGTACTGTAAACAGGTCGTAATTTACAAGATTACTAGTATACTAATCAAACGACCCGCCGTATGTTCTTCTCGCTCGCTTCTTCAATCTACTAAGGAATGCGCTGAGACGTTTTCATTAGTCAGACCACCGGCCCTAGTCTCGGTCGCAAGCTCGATTTGCCCAGGTGTACAGCCACACAATACCATATAGCAGCCTCCGATTTGAGTCACTAATGCCGATGTTGAACCAAGACCGACAGCCTCTTGATCGTGGGAACAACGATCGTTTCTCATCTCAAGAGGCTACGCAAACAACATAGTCGCCTTCTCTGTCTGTAAACTCTAGTGTCGGGAAGGTTCTCTACATCTAACAACGATGCTGTTGCGTGAGTGGTTCTCGAAGTGCAAGCGACACCTTCCTCAAGCTCTACCCCTGAGTACATGTTGTCGAGAACTGAGACAACACTGATCGGGAACACACAACAGACAGGTCCATAACAAATTGGCAATCGACATGTACGCAAAACCATGTATCTCCACTTCTCTTTGCTGCAAGAAGCCTAATACTTGAGCATCTTGTTCATACATGACATCTTGCTGGTATCAGATGGTCAAATAACCACGCGACCCCGATGTTTTCATACTGCTTGTAGTCGAACCGTCATGATACGACTACTTCATGCAAGGGGAATTCCGCTTCTCTGATGTCAAGGTCGTTCAGTGTGTATTTTAGAAAGACTTTCACGCACTGACGAGAACCAAGACCGCTGCAAAACTATGGCAAGATCTGTAGGACTTCGTGAATCGTATAGAAGTTGATATCATAAGCTTATGGCCTTCGAGCCCTGGCCTTACTCGTCAGCAAGTCACGAGATAGAGCGAGAGCGAGCTCCGATTCTATACACCGTCGTAGATACGCTACTGTCTCTGTTTGCAAGCTCCTGACGACGCGATCGAAGACAATCTCCTTAGTAAGTTGTCTTAGATCGTGGGATAGAGTAGGGAAAACTTCGCAACGCTCGAGGATCAAGTTTGCCGCGGGGAGAACACCGATGTAGTCGATTGCTTCCTCGCTGCCCTCGATCTTCCGTTTAGAAAGCTCAACTGTGAGACAAGACCTTGACAGATTGCCGTGCTGATAAGGACTTGTCGCTCGATTCACTAAGTCCTCGATGTGAGACACGCTCTCGAGGATTCTCTCCTCGTTGAAGCTACCCTCACAAGTACATGAATCCTTCAATAGCTCGAGCATCGAGATTATGTCCTCCAGCAAGCCAGGTGCCTCTCTGAACGATCTGAATTTGTCAGAATTCTCTGCGCTCTCCAGATGCAGGGCTGAGATCTCAGCTTGAAGCTTGTCCTGAATCAGTTCTGTGCCTTCCAAGATGTTGATTTTTCGAACTCGTTCGGCCAGATCAGTAGTCTGATCGTCCACATCCCAGGGTAACTCGTTCGTCCATTCAGCGTAAACTTTGACGTGCGGCTCCAACTCCTGGACATCGTGGATCATACGGCCCAAGCGGATCCCGATCAACATCTGAGAAGATTTGTATGGGTGGTTATTCACGATATTCAAGACATCAATCGCCTGTTGATCCATGTGTTCACAGGCTTTCCACTGTCTTCTCGCACTGGAAGGTGTCCCGGAAACTTTGCGATGGGCCAAGAACGTGAAAGCTCTTTCTAAGACTTCTTTCGGTTTCATGATTTTGGCCCTCTTCGGTAAGCTGGTGAACAACATGGTTCGATGCATTGATGATCAGTGTTCAGCTACTTTGACGAATCCGCGCGACATCGTTGATATCGATGGCCGCCCTCGAAACATTTCTATCCATCACGCGTGGCACGATGCAACATGAGGTCATGAGCTGATCATCTCGTCAGTACGATTTCACCACATCTCATGACGGAAAGACTAACGGCATTCCATTTGCGAATTGTCGTTTTCGAGCTTAATGCCAGCCGGCTGTTGGCAAATTCGGTCTTACGTAAAACTTTATCAGATCCCCTTTCTGGCGAAAGCCAGCACAGCGGCGCTATAGGACTATCTCTCATGAGCTCACGTTTACAAGCATCAAGATGAGATAAAGCTAGGACACAACAATACTCGATGCCCGACAAAATAACACCCATCAGCTGGAATCCTCAGCGACACTGGAACGGTGTCGTTCTACGAACCTCAACTCGATATAACGGAGAATCACATAAAGGATGACAGAGGCTGTGAATCCGACCAAGATCGCGAGCTAGTGCAGGGAAAGTCAGTAGTGGATATGTAGTCAAGAGACAATAACTTACGTCTAGTCCAGAACTCTTGAAGAAGAAGCCTATCGGACCGATGTACCATGTCTGTGTCATACACAGCACAACAACGGTACAGCTCAGTAGAAACGTTGCCGAAGACGCAAGGCCGAGAGGAAACTGTCGCTCATCCTCTTGTAGTAGCCACTTGTCTCATCGTGACACAACCGTTTCCTCTTTGGAGAGTTCTGGTAGCTTATGTCATCAGCATGATGATTGCAGCGAGCACGACAGGTGTGCAATTGTACGTACCGCTTGTAGAACACAGGAAGCATAGTGCGTCCACCAACAAGGATCCAGCAGTTCGATGGCTCCGTAGTAATGCTTACAGTTGTAACATTGGCATCTATCGCAACGATACCGAAGAATATACCACAATATCTCTCCCCAAACTCGAACTATGGGGATGAAATTCTCTCGCTGAACAATCTGGACTTCTAGTTAGCATATACCTATGGAAGAAGTAAGACGATCTGGGACGTGCTTACATCGTCTCTCTTTCCAGTGACCATGTTTGAGCGGAGATCTTTATGTACAGCCTGGAACTCAGTCAGCAGGAATCCACAGTTGGTTTATCAAGGACGCTCAACCACCTTCATCTTTCCGTTTCCGGATACAGAAAATTCACTACGGGGAGATTGAGGCTGTCTGCAAGGATACTGGAGTCAGCACTAAGTCGAAGAGAGATAGGAAGATTGTGTTGCTTGTCTCTACGCTGCTTTTGAATGAAACTGTGAATGATAACGTATCCGAGACTTTCCGATCGCGCTGAGGCTCTAGCTTAGAAGTGCGGTGACTTGAATGATGACAGTCTCACCAACGGACTGCTACCAAGCAGAATCGACCAGATCAGGTAAGAATGACGGAAGGAAAGGGAAAAAAAATTGGTAACCAATGTTTTGGGGTCATTGCGTGCGTGGCACTGGCTGAGAATTGTTGGTCTGCATTCTTTACGAAACACATAAGATGCAAGTTCACTTCGAGCTGTGGGCATTGATCCTAGCCGTCGCCAATCTTAGTCTCGCGCAGACTTTTGCAGATTATGCTTGTGTAAACAACATAGAGGCAGGCACTCGGTTCCAGACTGTTAGTCGAGCATCTCTGACCAAGCAGGCTTGGGAAGTCGCGTCGTGTAAGCATTCTAAGAGCATCCGTAGATATCGGGACTAACAATGACAACAGTAAGAAAACATAGAAACAACACATCTATCGAAAAGCGGACCCCCAATTTTTTTCATCCATCACGGCCAGCCCTGAGGATACGAACTCCTGAGTCTCGTCCTGAAATGGATATCGCTGGAGAAAGACTGTCATGGAGCTTACCAG